ACACTCAATTCCCTTTGTCAGGAACGAGCTCTCCCTACAGACTCCGCATCGGGGTCCGTTACGGGAACACTCTTCACACAGGTTCTCTTTAAACGAGAAACAATACTCACAAATATCACCTCTGCATCCCTTGCAGTGAAACTCAGCCATGAGATGATTATATCCATCACCTACATATTTACATCTGGGTTTACCAGGGTTGCCAGGGTTCCCACCGGCAGCACTCTTCTTCCCCCCTCCTCCTGGGCTTTGCCAATCTGGAGGAGGAGGTGGTGGAGGATCATCATCAGGAGGGCCAGGTGGAGGTGGCCGATTATCCGGAGTACGGGACGCGGCACGCCTTCCTCCTGTGCGATCGTTCAATCCACTACTTGAGGCCTGGTTCGAGTGCCTTGACTCGAGGGAGTTAATTCTCTGGGCCGTATTACCCAGCACCTCGAGCATTTGCTCGAGCTTACTGTTGAGCGTAGTCGAAACGGCCATGTTATGAGTATTTTGCTTGTCCGTGTAGGATTTGCAGTCCCTTGACTTTATCTCAAGGTTGGCCTGTGTCTCATAAAGTTGGTCTTTAACCCACTTTATGCCGTCCCTATTATTGGTCCAGCGTTGTTCGACATCTTGCATCATCCTATCAAACTGACATACCCTAGTGGACAGGTCCTCGATTTTGAGGTTTACTCCACCAATCGCAGGATGGTTGGATTGGCTCTCCACTAGAGATCTCTCGATCATATCAACACGAGCTATAAGCCCGGTTACTCGATCAGAAAGAGATTCAAAAACAGTTTGAACCTGGGTGATGGAGCGAGCAACATCATCATAGCTGGCTCGCTCATTTAGGGCATCGCCTATGCTCATCATGCGATTGGAAACGATCTTGACGCGTTGGCCAAGCTCGGTCACGATGTCCTTAGTCCCTTGTGACAGCTGCATGGCCGCGTTCGCAGCCTGCGTACACGTGCTACTCACATGGACGCATTGGTCGTATTTGGCCCTCCATGAGTTAACCTCAGTGGAGAGCTGCTTGATGCATTGATCACTTCTATCATTCCTACGCCCAAGGTCTTCGACCTTAGCAACCAGGCGATGAATGATTGCACTCACCGAAGAGTCCACTCTCCCTCTTTCAAGGGCTGTTACAAGATCAGCAACCTCGTTGGGTTGCTCCTCATTCGTAGGACCAAATCCTGACCCGCGATCTCGAGGAGTGGACAGATCAACCATGATTGGATTAGATCTCGGAGGAGTTCTGAAATCATCCTGCGCGGCCGTTGATGGCCGTGGGAACTCACTCCGATTAGGAGATTGACTCTGATACGGAGCAGATCTCCTAGCATCACGAACCGCAGAGGGTTGTGTCATGCCCAGGCCTTTGGCCACGGGCAGTTTAGGAACAACAGGCCTATCCATTCGCATAGGAACATCAGGTCTCGAGTCAGCAATAACAATGTCATTCAAGTCGGTCGCATTGGACACTCTAGACTCAGACATCGATTCAATATCAGTCGCATTACTGATGGTATGATTGCGACTAGAACTTGATGCCATCATGGATTCAGATTCTATCGGAACATTTGCTCCGTCCATGTCGTCTAGGGCGAAAATGGAAGCCGCGTTGGGCGTAGGGCGAACACCTTGTGCGTTCATGCCACTTGACCTATTAAATTCCTCCTGGAATGCTTCGATTCCATCAAGCACGTTAACGAGTGTGTCCGCGTTTAGCGGGTCTCTACCAATGATTGACGCTGGATCACCTGATCGACCGCGTCCTGAGTCCCGCGCACTGGGGTTACCCCTGTGGGCGGTTTCCCGATCCATCCCCCTTGCCCTATGCGATCCAGTCGAATTTGACCTTGATCGTTTGCTCGGGGTCGGACTGGGATGCAAATCCAATCTATCTACGATATTACGCTCTCTAGGGCTCTCAAATCCTGAAAGTCCTGGGGGAGGGGACATGTTCCTCATGGTCGGGTTTACCGACGGCCTTGGCCTGACGTTACGGCTGGCCACATCAGGATTGAGATTCTCAATCGACAAAGGTAGCATGAATTCATCACTTCCAGCAGCTCGTTTTGGGCTTTGGAAATGCGGGAAAGATGACGGGGCGGGTGGCCCTGGCATCCATGCGGCATAATCCATACCAAAAATGTTTCCGTCGTTGGGCCATGAGGCTCTCCAATCGAGCCCACCGGATTCGGTCGGCAGATGAACATCGAATGCAACTCCACTGGATGTACCAGGTTCGGGATTACCGAGCGCTTGAAAAACTATACTACTGGTTGGCACAGGTCTACTGCTACTTCGAGAGTCACGAAACTCGGACTGACCAATATTCATCAGCTCCGGGAAAGATGAGGATTGAGCTCCAGGTGCAATACCGGGCTCGTCATCATCACGTCCTGAGACGGAATCATCATGGTCAGGACGATTAGCCCCATGACCCTGAGAGCGATTAGCTCTTGAGGCATTAGACGATAGGTCATCAGTGCGAGTAGCACTGGACCTTCCTGAAGGCATTGCTTCTGAAAAAGTGTGGTCCGACAAAAAGTCAGGACCGGAAAACATCGGCTGTCCGGGCACTTGGTCGTCATTCACAACGTCCAAGATTCCGGCCTGGCCGAGAACCCATTCATCGGTCACCACATGAGGTCCATCCTCAGTGATTCCCGCCATACTATTTACACTACCCTACGATGCCTGCAGGGTTGTTAAAAAAGGGGTTCGCGGTGCCAACCGAGGACGAATCCTACGGCTGATAACCTGCGAAAGGGTTTGAAACAGAGTTTCGGGATGGATAAAACAGGCCCTAACCCACCAACAAGAAGAGACCACCTTATCCCCCCCCGGTCCCAAGGGCAAAGCGGTTGCCCTCGGCAGGCACTAACACGAACCAAAAGGGGTGCCTCGTTGTAACAAGAAGAAACCAGGCAGAAGCGCAGCACAGCGCAGAGCAGGCAGGCAAACCAGTAGCAAGCAGCACCAAGCGAGCAAAGCAAGCAATAGCAGCGCACCTCAAACAATAGCCCGACCCACCTCCAGGACAAAGAACACCGCCCCAGGCACAACGGCCGCGTAAACACGAGGCCGGTGTGAAGGTGCGCCGTGATCTTTTCCCGACGAAATGGCGAGCAATGAATGCCAGGTGAAAAGCTTGAGCCAAAAGCCGCGTTGGGCTTCGGCATGAAACATGCTATGATAGAAGTACATGCCCCCAAAAACAGAAACCATGGGAGACCAGAACGTTTCTTGGTATTTCCCGGTCAATGGAATCATTCCCTTGGGTTTCTGAACGGTGCGATTTCTGGACTTCGATTTGAACCATCCACAGTACGAACGACGCATGGGACATCGCCGCGCGTCTTTGGTTTTGAGGGTACCAGTTTTGTTTCCCTCCTTTAAAAAAAAATGGGGGAGGGAAATCAAAAGGAAAGCCTTTGACATCGAAAACCTAGCTGTTTTTGGTTTTGCCTTCCTCCATTTGCTTAAGTCCCCTGGAAAAAATAAAAATAACCATATTTCCAGTAGTGAAATCAATTCCCTTTAAAACCAAGAAAGGAATCAAACAAAAACAAACAAAATCCAGGAGTGAAATCAAATCCCTTTAAAACCAAGAAACAAAAACAAAACATATTTCCAGGAGTGAAATCATTTCCCTTTAAAACAAGAAAGAAAAACACATATTTCCAGGAGTGAAATCAACTCCCTTTAAAACCAAGAAAGGAGAGAAAAACAAACAACAAAAAATATTTCCAGGAGTGAAATAAATTCCCTTTAAGACCAAGAAAGGAACTAAATAATGTTGGGGAGTGAATAATAAAGGGCCCCCCCCCCCCCTCAAACAAAATGGGGGGGGGGTCAATAGAGGAAACCCCAAAAACAAATTGAGGGTCAGACCGGGTCTTCCCTAAGCAGTATTCCAGTAAGTATTGGTTAGTATTGGTTTAGTATTGGTTTAGTATTCTTGCTGACTGGCTTAGTACTGCTTAGAATTGGTTTAGTTTTGGTTTAGTATTCTTGCTGACTGGCTTAGTACTGCTTAGAATTGGTTTAGTATTGGTTTAGTATTCTGGCTGACTGGCTTAGTACTGCTTAGAGAATTGGTTTAGTATTGGTTTAGATTCTTGCTGACTGGCTTAGTACTGCTTAGAATTGGTTTAGTATTGGTTTAGTATTCTGGTTGACTGGCTTAGTACTGTTTAGAATTGGTTTAGTATTGGTTTAGTATTCCCTGGGCCCAGTCCTAAAAAACTTTCTCAATTAACTCCCCTTAAACAAATCGCATTATTGGCTTCCTGGGTGTTCCCTGTACCCCTTAAAAATTTGGCAGGGTGCAACTTTTAGTAAGGGCTGTCATAAAGAATTTGGCTGTTCGGGCCTCAGTTAAACTTCCTTTTCTGGGGAGACTCAGTAGTTCTTTGGAAAGGAAACTTCCTTTTCTGGGGAGACTCAGTAGTTCTTTGGAAAGGGAAGCCCTTTTCCTTGCAGGCATTCCTGGCCCCAGTCCTAAAAAACTTTTCTCAATTAACCCCCCTTAAACAAATCTTATTATTGGCTTCCTGGGTGTTCCCTGTACTACCCCCTTGAAAATTTGGCAGGGTGCAACTTTTAGTAAGGGCTGTCATAAAGAATTTGGGTGTTGGGGACCTCAGTTAAACTTCCTTTTCAGGGACTTCAATCGTCATCTCCTTGTTGGTGGTGGTGGTAGGTTGGGGGGGGCGGGCGGGGCAAAGAGAGACAGGAGTTACACTGAATTAGGGATTAATTATCAAACTTTTTTTGGGGGAACATTTTTCTGGATTTTTTGCCCCTCACAAAAACTTTTGTGTATTAACTCCCCCTTTTGCTTTTCAGGGGTGTGAATAATTTTGGGATTTTTTTTTGTGTATTGACTCCCCATTTATTATTCGCAACCTAACATTAACAAAAACAATCTTAACCAACTAGAAGCCTTCGAACATCGCCTGAAAAATTCAGCGGGAAGAGGTCCCCGCACGCCCCGCCTGCATTTTCCGGGCCTCCTCCAGGTCATGGCGGCAAACACCTGAGCCAGAGCCCGCAGAACCGACCGGGGCTGCATTAAAAAATGGGGGACAGGTCTGCCAGCTCGAAAAAGAAAAGGAAGGAAACAAAAAACGTGGTTTCTTCCATTAACCCCGTTTCGCAAACTGGCCCAACCATTTCAGACGAGCCTGTGGAGCTTGTCCAGCTTTAAGAAAAGAAAGGACAGGGTGCCTGACACACACACACACACATACATACAGTTTTTTGAAGGGAATTTTTAAAGGTTGCACTCTCAATGGAACCGCCCTGAAAGACCCTCCCAAAAAAAAAAAATCAGTTCAATCTCAACTTGAAAGAGGGGACCACGATAATTTCCTGGATTTCTTGTTTTTTTTTGCAAACGGGCCTTTCCAGATGCAAAACCCGCGACCCGGTTGGGTCGAAGCTTCTGGCCTGCATGTTAGGACCACTTCTGGGCCCTCACAACAAACTTTAAAAGGGGTCTTAACCCCTTCAATGGAGCATCCCTCCCAGCCCTCCATGCCCGCATACTGCGCATATTTTTCCCCGCTCCACCTGGGAACTTGGAAACGTCCAAGGAAAGGACGGAAGCAAAGCACAATCTTCGCAACTCACCCGTTCGCCCTTGTCACTGTCCCTGCTGCCTTTCCCCCCCCCCCCCCGTGTTAGACTTTGTCCCTCAAATTGCATGGACGTTGGGTGACCTTTCGCTAGACGAATTTATGCCACCAGCCAACTCGCGGAAGTCCAGCCAGAAATCCATGGCCAGCCTCAACCCCCAGCCCTCCTCATTAGACTTGGGCCCAGCTCTAGAATGTATTTTCGATTGCTTGCTTCCCTTTGAGCCACCGGTAACATGCAAAACGTATCCGAAGTCTCCCCCAGTCCGCTTTCCCCCTCGCTTTGGGAGGCCCCACGAAGCTGCTCAGCATCTGCCAGGGCCGAGGCCTGTTTCATAAGTCCCACCCGACGCAATTCCACCCGGAATTGGAACCTCGAGAAGCTCGCCCGCCCTGCAGAATTGGCGGTGGCGAATTCAGAAAGCCGGAAGTCCAAAATGGGTTGCCCGATGGGTAAGTGGAAACGTGGGTACCAAAACCTGCGGAATAAGCCCCTCCTGGTAAATTTTGAGCCACACCCGCATGGACAAAAGGGTTCGGGACCTCCGTGTCCACCTTCCAGTCTTGAACAGGGGCTATAGTCTCACCTGCGGCCGAGTGAATGGGCCAAAAATGGTCCAGAATATGTGTTTGCCACTGAAATTGCCTTCCCAAAAAATATATAAAATCCAGAAACTCAGGGAGTGAGGTGTCGGGCCAAAGTGAGTGCAGTTTGCCGGGCAACTCGGGGGAGCTGAGCTGGGCTGAAACGGGTCCCATCAGTTGTAATATGGCCGTGGTTGTCAAAACCAATGGGATCCCATTTTGGGGTAGGTGAATTCACTACCCATTTTAGAACCTAGTTTAGTGGTTGGATTGAATCGGATGTTCACTGGGGGTACGGGATTTGGATTTAGACCCATGGCCATACAGTGGTTGGCCATAGTTTTGACCATGGCTTAAGGAAGCTTAGTTCAGCTGTTTACTTTCCCGGAGGGCTGGGAAAACCACCGTGCCTGGACATGTTGAAGCCGGAGACATTCCAACCAAACGCCTGTTGTGGGGGACACCTTGTGGTGCTGAATCCTTTGATGAAGCCACTGGCTTGGCTTGACCCAAAAAATCCCAGGCTGATTGCTTCCTGAACATGGACAAGGAAGCAACGGCCGATCCGAGTTCCCCCCCCTGTGTCCTTCCGAGGTGTGCAACATCCAAGGCAGTCCCCCCCAAAAAAAAAGAAAAGCAGCCCAAGGATCGCCAGTGGCGATCGATATGTTCCATGCACTGTACGCCAAAAACCAGCAGTGGCTCAAAAAACAGCAACTTGGAGAGGCCCCGCTGTGTTGCGTTCTATATCATTCTATAAAGGGCCCTGAATGGAACCTATGAGGCTGTCTGACATATTTGCCTCTTCTTTTGCTTCTGCGAGGGCGCCCTTTCAGTTGCAGATCCTTTTATTATCCCTGAGGCTTCCTTTAATTGGTGGTTCGGATTAGTGGTTTTGGGGTGTGAACCCTTAATGTTTGTAGAGGGTCAATGGCAAACCACCTCTGAACCACCAAACCACCAAACCACCAAACCACCAAACCACCAAACCACCAAACCACCAATCCAACCACCAATTGGAGGGATTCTGAATCCCTGTCCATGTTCCGTATGGTCGATGATGATATCTTTCCGGGAATCTGTGATTCTCTGCTCGGAATAACGCATTGCTCACTCCAGAATTGCGATTCATTGCGCGACAATCCCATCAAATACATCAATCCTGTTGACTGGCTGAAACCAAACGAGGAACCCGACTGCATGGACCGCAAGCTGCTTGATTGCGTTCCCGTTACCCCTTTGACTGCTGCAACAGATCATGCAAGCCCATGCAAGGCTGCAAGTTCCGCACTCTCTCCCGTGCCGCGCATGTGATCAACAACTCCCAATCGCCAGAGCAGAACACAGCTACAGCCAGGTGCCGCGGGATCACAAAACAACACGGTTCCCAAAATCGCGCCTAAGGGGACTAACCCCATTCACTCCAGTTCAGTCATCTTCAGTTATAACCATGGTTCTGACCTACATACCAAGTTCGTTGAAAACCCAAGTGGTCGGCTGTATGTTTCTGCGGTTTATACACATCATTGATCACACACACACGGAGAGCTCAAGCCGCGCAGCAAAGCGGCATCCCTTTCCTGGCCGCGCGCCTTTCGTAACACATAGAAGTGGACATGTGCTCGAGGTGCCGTCCAATTTCCCCCTTGGGGCATCTGGGCGAATATCCTGCCTTCGCCTTCTGCGCTGCATCCAGCTCAGAGCGAAGCCTCCGAGCTTGGCGGCGAGCGGGGAGTGGGGACCATCCACGCCACGCGGACACACATACACACACAAAGAGCTGGCAGGAACAGGCCAGTTCTGGCCTCATTTGCGCCCGCAGGATCTTCACCGTGGAACTAACAAAGGGCAAAGACATGCAAAAAACCCGGTTGGCTCATGGCTCGTGGCATCGAATGCACCACAATGATACTCACGGTCGGCCAGCGCTGGCCGAAGGACTTGTGAAATAGCTACCCCGCAACGTCTGCCGGAACTTTGCCATTCTACGGGGGCTGGCTTTTCAGTCAGGTGGCAAAACTTGTTGGCCTTACCCTCAAGCCATTCCTCCCCTCGCAGCCCCACCAAGCCCCTTCGGCCAAAAAGAAACGACATATATCCTGGTTGGGGCATGAACACCTCCCATTTGTTTGTTCGGTCCTTGTCTTGCGGTAAAACACATGACCCCAAGCCTCATGTGCTCGTCCCCGCAAACCGCCAGTTTCCGTTCGGCCATTACTCGACCTAAGGGACGCCTGCTTCCTCAGAGAGCCCAAGCCAAGCTCAAACACGGACACAGCCCCGACACCCCGCCGACACTCATTCGACCTGACAGAAGGTCTGCTGGAGCGCTCTGAGTAAGAAGTAGGTTGAAGTGGACCCATATGAACCCGAACCAATCATCTCGTCAACACGTCTGATTGCGACCAATGGAACCGACACTATGTCGTGACTTTGTCCAACAAACCAGCAACAGGTCCACCTGAATCCGCCGCTTCGGCCGAACCGAACCGCCACATTGCCCCACTTGGGATTCTCCCTGGATATCTGCATTCGCAAAAATGTGTTGCCCATTTCACCAACCCAAGGGTTGTACTTTCCCAGAAGACGCGCCGGAGCATCTCATCTTACCCTAAACAAACGGTTTGGTTTGGTGGTTTGGACAGGTTGCTTCCCCATGGTTTCTGTTCAGAAGGAACTGGGGTTCAAATCCAATTCGAAACCACCAATGCAAACCTTGGTTGCTGTTGACCCCTCTGCTCTGCCCACCAAAAAACTGCTTTTTGTGGTTTCAACCAAAAAGTTCAAGTCCAAAGATCCGTTCTTCCAAATAGCCACAAAGCAAAACCACCACCTGGTTTGCTGCCCCCCTGCTTTCAGAAGGAACTGGGGTTCAACTCCAAATCCAAAGCCACCAACCAAAGGGGGTTATAAGGCAGAGCCAGGGGGCCCGAGGGCCCGGCTGCGAGGCTTCGCTGCTCAGGCTGGCCTCTTTCCTTTTGGCCGCCTGCGGCCATGTGATGTTGACGCATACCCACACCGGTCCCACTACTTTAAACCTGTCTGTTGGAAAATGAAATTTTGGGTTTGGAGGGAAAGGGTGGTTGAAGCAAAACATTCTCGGGGGCGCCCTAGTTAAAGACCCCAGGCCGGAGTGGCGCAGATAATCGGCCGTGAACGCAAACTTGAAAGGGCCAACTGCCAAGCACTTGTCTCCAAGAGAAGGGCGGGCCGCTCCAGAGCAGCAGGCATATTTCATTTTCCACGCAGTTCCCTTCTCCTTGCTCGTTTCCCAAGTGACTCGCCTCCAACTCGCTCTTCGCTGCGGAGATGTTCCTTACCCGCGGCCAGGGGCATGGGCACAAGAACCCTTGGAGGTGTGATCAACTCTGAATCATGGGGTCGTGACCATCCAAACGCCAAATCAATGGTGGCTCCAAAGGCTGAACTGCCATGGCAGTTGAGTCCAAGGCCTTCCGAAAGAATGCTCGTCTCCACACCCCATCCAGGTTTTGCAGCAGCTGCAGCACATGCTATGCAACGCCATGCCAAGGCAAGGGGCTGTCGCAAAGCTTCAGCTTCTTTTTCGGCGCTGGACTTCTCTTGCATGGCCTCGGCAAGAACCCGACTTCTGCCCCAAATGGAACTGGGACATGTCGAGGTCTGCGGATCACACCGTAAATGGTTGCAAAATCCAGAAATCGCGCCACTGAGAAACCGTTAACGGAATGATTCGATCCCCTAAAATGCCATAACAATCCTTCTGGTTTCCACCATGGTTTCATTTTGGTGGTGCGAGAAACTCGCACGTTTTCGCGTCCATCCAAATGGAAGGACTGATCCTCCAGGGAACTTCCGTTGAGGGCATGTCCCCTTCGACATGGGCACTGGAGAACATCTGGAGAACACCTCCGGACCTCCGGAGGACCCCTCTTTGCGCAACTTCTACGTGAAGGCAAGCCCCAAGTTGGAAAGGGTTGGGCTGGAAATTCCACAGGAAGATGATGCTTATATAGGCGGCTTGAGCCATCGCCTGTAGATTCCAGGAAAAGGCGGGGATCGATCCCTGCTCAGCCTTGAGCTTCCCGGGATATCCGGCCCACAAGACTCAGATGTTCAAGCTGAGCAGGTCATTCCGTCGTTGCCCGCCATCCGGCTTGGTACTTGAAGGGTGAATCTAAGAGCACATCTTTCTTCCAGGTACCTTCCCACTGCTGTTCCCTCCCACTTTCTGCGTCGGCAAAGAACAACTTATCAAAAGATCCAAAAGTCCCCAAAAAGTAACGTAACGTCTAAAGATCCAACCTGGGTTTGTCCCAAAATTGGGGAAACTTGTCAAACATGTGGCTTTCATGTTGGTTTCCCTCCCAAAAAACACACAAATTAAAACAGTACCCTCAAAACAAAGACACATGGCGATGTCTGCGCTGTTCATACTGTGGATGCACGACATTCTGCACCACTTTTGAAATCCTGGAATAATGATTCCCCTGCAAACACCAACCAGCCTTCTGGTTTCCACCATGGTTTCGTGATTTGTTTCCCCAACGTAAATACCCACCAACGTTGTGGTTTCAACCATGGTTTCATTTCGGTGGTGCGAGAAACTCGCGGATTTCTCCACACCGCTCCGGTCTCCCTGGTCCAATGCTTCGAGGCTGCGTGCAGCAGCTGCGAGCGCACCGCCGTGGCCTCCGCCTTGGACTCCGAGAGCGCCTGGCCACCGGGCCGCCGGTGAAGGTCGTCCGATGGTTTGGCGGGAGCCGTGGAATTGGTCGAATGGCTAAGGCTCCCCAAAAACCGATTGGCGGTGGAAAAGGGAGTTCTAGAAAGGAAGGGGTGGGGGGGAGGGGTGGGGGGCAGGGGGGGGAGGGGGGAAAACCAACCAACCAACAAACAAACAACCAACCCGACCAACAAGCCAACCAACAGCCCAACCAACAACCCAACCCAACCCAACCCAACCCAACCCAACCCAACCCAACCCAACCCAACCCAACCCAACCCAACCAAACTAACAAGGAGACAACACAAACACACACAAACAAACAAACAAACAAACAAGCAAGCAAGCAAGCAAACAAACAAACAAGCAAGCAAGCAAGCAAGCAAACAAACACACAAACAATATTTATTCGTTGTGACCTTGAGTGATTGCCGCTGAAGTCAGCTGGAATGAAACAGCGCGAGTTCTCAAAGGATGCGATTGAAAGGAATTGCAGGCAACAAAGTCTTGGACGAAAGGAAGAACAGTTTTTTCGTGGCAACTGGCTTTGCCTCAGCGGCCTTTCATGCCGCGCAAAGCCCTCAGTACTTGCGCAAGCGGCCATGGGAAAAAAGGTTGCTTGATTTCCTTCGGGAAAACAGCTTTGGTTCAAGTCCTCCTTGAGGTAGTGAAAAAACGGGACCTTGTATTCAGCAGCTCCTTTTCTGCCATAGGAACTGGCTATGACTGTAACGGTTGCTTTCGAGGCTGGTTGGGTTTTCGAACGGGTCACCCACATGATAATTTCCTGTTGCCCCTCCCTTCAACACCAACCAAAAGGGGTAAAACATTGTGAGACGCCCTGATGAACATTTACAGGGACTTACACCTGCTTCCTGGCGGTTCCTTCTCTCCTCCAAAAGGACTCCAGCTCGGATGAACGTTTCCTTTACCATGTCTGAAGCTGTCTACTTGACAGCGAGCTGCAACCTTAGAAGACACCTTCTCCACTCCTGGTAACGGACTTCGGCATGCTCGCCTTTTTCAATAAGCTGCAACCTTGTCCCCCATGCGAAACACAAACGGGGGTGGCTCGCATTGCAACAAGGGGCTGCAACCTGCGAAGGCACCTGCTCCAATCTCAGTGCCAGAATTGGGTATGGTGACATCTGTCAATGAGCTGCAACCTTGAAAGGCACCTTGCTCGATCTTGGTGACCGAGTTGGGAATGCTCACACTTTCCAAGGAGCTGCAACCTTGAAAGGCATATCGTCCAATCTCAGTGACAGAATTGGGGATGGTAACGCTTTCCAATGAGATGCAATCTTGGAAGGTGTGGTTGGCAATCTGAGTGACAGAGTCTGGGATGGATACACTTTCCAATGAGCTGCAACCATGAAAGGCATACAACCCAATCCCAGTAACGGAGTCAGGGATGGTCACGCTTGCCAAGGAGCTACAGCCTTCAAAGGCACCAAACCCAATCACTTTCACAGAGTCAGGGATGGTTACATCTGCCAAGCACCTGCAACCTTGAAAGGCATTATCCCCAATCTCAGTCACGGAGTCGGGGATGGTCACATCTGCCAAGCACCTGCAACCTTCAAAGGCATTATCCCCAATCTCAGTCACGGAGTCGGGGATGGTCACGCTTGCTAAGGACCTGCAATGCGCGAAGGCGTACATTGCAATGAAAGTGACAGAATTGGAAATGCTTACGTTTGCTATCAAGCTGCAACCTTGGAAGGCATTTTCCCCGATCACCGTTAGGGAGTCGGGTATGGTCACGCTTGCTAAGGACTTGCAATGTGCGAAGGCGCCCATTGCAATGAAAGTGACAGAGTTGGGAATGGTCACGTTTGCTAACGAGCTGCAACCTTGGAAGGCCATTTCTTCAATGTCAGTGACAGAACTGGGGATGGCTACATTGACCAACGAGCTGCAATCTTCGAAGGCACTTGCTCCAACCACAGTGACAGAATTGGGGATGGTTATGCTTGCCAATAAACTGCAGCCCTGGAAGGCACCATCCTGAATCTCAGTCACGTCTCCAGGAACCTCCACAACCCGCAAATCTTCCACCTCGCAGCCAGACGTTGAGAAGCTTGAGCATGTCACCGGCTTGATGCTGAGGAAAGCCAGAACTTCTGCACCTGGAATGGCCTCCGACACAATCTCCTCGTTGTTCAGCAAGGACCTGTCTCCAACAACCACCTCCACCGAGCTCATGCTGCGCTGTGATTCATCTGCACAGGGCAGCCGCCTGTGCAGCTGCCTCTTGAACTCGCGGACCGACATGTCGGGCAGAACTTCAAACGGTTCATCTGCTCCAGACAGCTGCCGCACTGTAAACACTCTTGCCATGGCAAACGTGGTCTTAACTACCAACTGTTGCTTGACATGTGGTCAGGAAAACTGCAGGGGTCGTCTTATTTCCCCTTCAAAAATTGCAATTTTCCGGTGGCTTCCCTTGAAACTGCCACTGTTGGAGGTTCCAAAAAGGGAAGTGGAGGAAACCCTCAACTAGCTCCTGCTTCGTTGCTGCGCCGATAGGGATCTGGGGTGCTTGGGCTAGATGCGCTCGGCTTTGAGCGCGGCCTTGCATCAGTTGGCGCACAGTCACCGGCTCCAGAGGAAGTATTGGACAATTGTCACCCCTGACAATCAATCCTTCTTGCCCAGCGGCGATGGGACAAAATGAACTTGCCCTGTGTTTTTGGTTTGTTGGGTTTTCAGTGGGAACTCGCTAAAGAAGAGGAACAGGGGTACTACTTCTATCTGAATGGGGGCCACACCGCGCTGCGGTTCAGTTGGGTGAGGTGTGCCGAAGGGACAAGAGGCAGGCCGCGTGGTTTCTTGCGCGTCTCAGCGTTCTCTGATCCACTTCTGCCGGGGGGGGTGGGGGGTGGGGGGTGGGGGGTGGGGGGTGGGGGGTGGGGGGTGGGGGGTGGGGGGTGGAGGGTGGAGGGTGGAGGGGGGGTTTGGGGTGGGGGGGGGTGGGGGTTGGGGGGTGGGGGCTGGGGGCTGCAGGGGTGAGGGCCATGAAAGCGAGGCCCAGGTGTTTGGATCGCATCCCTGAAAGCCTGAGGTTCAACTCAAATGCCCAGTGGATTTCCATGGGAAGAAAAGAATCGGCATCCTTTTTGGTTGGTTGACTTTTCTTGGGAACCCTTCCCCCCCAAAAAAGGGGGCAACTGGGTCAAGGAAAGGCCAAAGTCTGCTTTTCAATCGCGGGAAGCTTCCCGAAAAGCTCTGGGCAACCGGGACTACATGGAAAACCACCCAAAGTGGCGGTGCTTGTCTGGTGTTGCTGCAAACCAACCCGCAAAGGGTGGCCAAAGATGTTCAACCAAATTGACCCGCAAAGGACCTACCCTCCACCAACATGAAACTCTTCAAAAAGAACATTATCTATTCCAGGTCGATGTGAATGGCAGGGTACGGCAACATTTATGTTGAAGGAATCCATCTATTTTCATGATGGGACGTTCTCAAAATAAGGGACACCTCCCGGTGGTTGATTTCCTCGTGGTTCCCCCCCCCACTATATATATATATATATGTGTGTGTGTGTGTTGACATCACACACATATGTATTACTATATACCCGCCTCCCAAAACAAGACCACAATGTTGAGAAGCCACGGCCAGCGGCTTCCCTTTCAACTTGCACGCGCTGCCGCCGCATCGCACCTCCCGGAGCTTCTCCAGTTCCGCCTTGCGCTCTTTCTCCCGCGACCTGGCCGTCGCTCGAAACTTTGAGCCATGAGTCCCATACGTGCCGCCGATGGCGAGCGTGCCGAAGAAAAGGGGGAGACCAAAGCGGGGGGCCCGAAGCTTGCCAACCACTCATGTCAGGGCTCCCTATATTTCCCCTTCAGACATCACCCCCGCTCCCGCTAATACTCACCTTTCATGGGACAAAAAGGTGATGTTTAAAACGAAATTTAGGGACCCCATGTTGTGCAGGGGGAAAGGGCAGTGGATAGGGGATACCCCAGGGGATACATCTCTGTCACAGACTAAGCTTTGGAAGCTCCTGGTCAAATGGAACCAACTCTTCAGGGGCCCAGAGCTTCCATGGAATCGCCTGGGAGGGTAATTTTAACAACCCCTTATGTTGTAAAGGGAAAAAGGGCAAAGGGATCACGAAGCATCAATCAGCCCGCGCTGAAGGAGCTGGTGCGTTTGAGTCTTCCCCACAAAAGGGGCAAGTTTGAGTTGCAGCTGGAATTTGAGGGGCGGGGTGCCTAGTCCCCCAACTCTCCTATTTTAAGGGGCGGGGTGCCCCCAGTCTTGACCCGGAATGGGAACCTCTCTTATGCATTTGATGGCCTAGTGCAAGGCTACCAAAAGATACCACTCAAACAAACCAGCCCTCTCCCAACCCTGGCTTTTCGAGTTGGCCGTGCACGGAGCGAAGTTCTGGTTGGCGCCAGCGAGGTTCTTCACCCAACAGCGGGAATGAGCAGACTACCACGGGTATCTTGGCACCCCCTCCGTCTCCTCCAAATAAATATCTCGTGAAAGGCAAGACTCATGCTTCCGAGGTAACCAGGTACTGGTTGTTGCCAGTTCCCATTTCCTCTATCAACCAACACGGAAAAACAACAAACTTCAGAACCCATGGAAGCATGCATTTCCCGCGGGCTCGATGGCAGCTACTCCCCCATGCTGGCAGCCTGCAACCTTAGATCACCTGCAACAAATTTCAACTTGCCAAAAGAAGGCAACCAACCTCACAAACGAACCCCAAATCGGGGTTCAAACAAAAAAGAGGAGCAGACCTCAGGTCGACTCGCCACGCGCCATGTCCCCCAGCCGGGCCTCAAGATCTCAGCCTCTGAAGCCAAGGAGGCCTGGCTGGCAAGCGCGCGGGTTCCGAGGAATCCCAGGGTCGGATTCCGGACATGGCCCCCCTGCGGCCATAGGCTTCGGGCAAAAAGATCCCGAGACCTGGCAGGAAAATGGGCATGTTAGCTTTGTTTTCTTAAGCTGCTGTTCTCCAATACTGATGGATTGATTGTGGTTTCGAGGCTTCCGGCTTGCGTTGACCGTAGCTGTGCGGACCGCTTCGACCTGTCTGATGCTTAAAGGTACTTGCAGGGAAAAAGGGTGACCCTGATCCGCTGCAAGTCGACAAGACTCAACCAAGAACAAGTGATAACAAGTGACGGAGCTTCGGCTGCCGTGACCCCGTGATAGGTGCTGAAATGTGGGCCCTGCTAAGCGTCCATATAGCATCATATGCGCTGCAAAAAATATATGACGTTCATTCGTCAAACCTGTGTTCTTCATCGGCTTCCTATTTCTTCTCTCCGCGACGATTGGATGATAGTGGATGTGTCTAGGAATTAACTTGCCAAAGTCGCGTGGCGATGACTTTGCTAAAGCGGTTAGCCGAAGGCGCATGATTGTTTGTGCCTTCTGCTGGAAAGTCAGCCTATTGTTGTGGGGGACAATGACGCTTTTTCTTTGTTGCTGGCTTGAGGGGAAACCGCCTAGGACAAACCTGGGAACTATGCAGGAAAGTAACACTGAAGTGGCTGCCGCTGGGTTCCTTCGGTGGAAACAAGGAAATCAAACAAACACGGCTCACCCAGCTACTCTGGTGTGAGTCGCTTTTGCAGAGTTCAGAAAAAAGCCCTGCGATTGAAAGCCGCGAAGCTTTCGGCGATGTTTCTTGGGCCCTGACGCATGGGAATTCTGAAACAACAGTGTCGAGTTCGACCACATCACATATACGTGGGAAGGGGAGGTACTCAAATGCTACCCCACTCAGATTGGCAGGCTTCTGCCATGTTGGCCTGTTTTTTGTTTTGCTTCCGCCCGCACAGCCCGTTGTCCTGAGCTCTTGCCTCCCTCGATCGAGCTTCGCAAAGATAGAAAGTCGGGAAGTCAACAAGAGCGCAAACCTGGCAGACTAGTTCCCTGAGGTCACTGAGCACCTGAATTGTGCAATGCTATCATCAGCTGTCTGGGCAAACGTTGGAAGTTTGAGGTGGGACTTGTGGGAACTTGTGGGACAAGCAAGCTCAAGTCCCAGCGAACACCCATTTTCACCGCGCAGCCTCACGCCTGCAGGTTCCTCTTTTCCCGCCGGCAGATGGGAGGAGCACACCCCGCACATGACACACCAACTAAACCAACACAGGGTGAGGGAGGTTGGCTTACAACATGTGCAGCTCAGTCTGAACTTTGGCGTCCCCGCCAGCATCAGGCTCGCCCCTCACCACAGAGCCATCACTGAGAATGGCAGCAAACGCACGGGAGGTTGAATGTATTTGTTGGAAGCCTGTCAGCTGCTTTTGAACCTGGCTACTGTCACCACCAGCATCGGCAGTGCCCCAAGTCACCACAAATCCATCATCCAAAACGGCAGCAAACGCCGATGCAGTTGCTTGTACCTGCTGGACCCGAACCAACTGCTCCCGCACTTGGCTGCTGTCACCGCCCCGGTCAGGACCGCCCCAAGTTGCCACAGAGCCGTTGTCCAAAATGGCTGCAACCGCCGCAATATTGCTTGGATATGCTTGACCTGCTACCAGGATGGTCCCAAGTCACCACAAAGCGATTGTCCAGTGTAGCTGCAAAAGCCCACATATTTGCTTGGATCTGCTTCACCCGCAGCAACTGCTTTTGCAGAGCCATCGTCCAGGAGAGCAGCAAAAGCACCCAAGTTTGCTTGAATCCGCTGGACGCGCACCAGCTGCTCTTGCACCAGGCTGCTGTAGAGCCACTGCCCAAGATTGCAGCAAAGGCACGGAAAGTTGCTTGGATCTGGACGCTTCTCAGCTGCTTTTGAACCTGGCTGTCACCGCCAAAGTCAGGATCGTTCCAAGTCACCACACTCCCTTCCCTCACATAGAGAGCACATGCTTCTCGAGTGGAAGACAGGTCGATTGGCTGCACGACGGCGCTAATGCTGTCCCCATCTTGCTCGCCGACCTCAGTCAAAGCATGCGACGGATCCAACTGCTGCCCTATGAAAATCAGCGCCAGAAAACAGCGCTCCAACTGACGTTGCGCCTCGGCCTTCAATTCATGAACGCTCGAATCATGCGAAAGCCCAACAAAGCAGCTCTTCCCACTCGCCAAGTGCACTTCCACTTGCATGGGCGATGGACCCACCTCGGACCAGGACTTGTTCCAGGTCATAATCTACATGCAGGTGTTTTTTGTCGCAACCGTCCTTACATAAGCTAAAATCACACAGTGCTCATGTTGTTCTTGGATGATGTGGAAGCTGATTCGTGGTGGTGCCCATTGATTGTCAACTTGTCAACCTCATGGTGGAAAGTGGAATCACGATTGAAGCCTTCAGCTGCAAACTTTTGATACGAGCAGCGCTTGAAAACCAATTGCCATCAGCCAGCCACATCCCTCAACTTTAAGTGAATCCACGGATAGAAACGCTATTGCGACCGGCTGTTGATAGGGGACCAAATTCCAGCTGAAATTATTCTGAAACAAGCTAGGGACCAAACTTTCAGAGGCGCAATCAATGTCACCTATGTCGAATTGCATTTCCCCATTGTCATGGGTAGCTTCAGCACTGAAAGATTCCATCGAAATCAGGGAAAAAGGTCCGCATCACATCGTCACGATGCTATGTGACCGCTGTACTGTCTGACATGGGAAATGAAGGCCTACACCTTTTAGACTCTCTTGCACTTAATCGTCCCTGAGTCCCCAGAACACTTTGGCTTTGATTTGGGGGAGCCAGCCTTCCTAACCCATGACGCGCGCGCGACTGATCCCATCGCTCGAGGGCTAAGAACCTTCTCTCAGGCCACACCATGCTTACGCACTGCGAGCCCTGACTAGAAGTGTACTTGCCATGGCGAAAGGTAAAGTACGACGCCTGTGGGGAATCGACCGGTTTCGACAATGTATTTATTCAATTCAACACACACACTGAAATAAATTGACCTTGAACATGACTTTTCATGTGTTGCAAGGCAAGCACGCAGTGCTTACGAGTTCAACAACATCTTGTACACTGCAACTCTTGCTGCAAAAGGGGTAATGAAACCATAAATGAAACGTGTACCCAGGAAAAAAACCGGAGTCACTGTCAAAATCTAGCACTATTCATGTGGTCTTCCAAAAAACATGTACAGGTAAACTCTATTGTGGGCGGCTAAACCATCTATAGCTGGGAGAAGACAAAAAACAGGCGGCTTTTTGCCCCCAAAACCTGGGTGGCTCAATTCAGCGCATGTTTTTTTTTTGGAAGGGGGCACGTCTTCCTCTCCGTCGATCCGCCTTCGCGAGCTCCGTGGTCTGCAGCTCGGATTTCAGGCTCTGCAGCGCCGACCTGGCCGGGAGCTTCGGAGCTTCGGCCCGGGAGCGGGGAGTGAGGGCTGCGAGTGAGGGGCTACGAGTCTCGGTGGCGAACTCTGCTGCTTAACATGACGAACTTTTAGTGATTTCATACGGAAAGCCCATTGGCAAAAAGTGATTGTCGGAACATCCCTTGGCAAAATGCACAGGAGTGAGGGGTACGTGCACTCAGAACAAAGCCTTTCTCGAGTTCAAGCCAACCCGACATGAAACCAGCCACTCGCGGTTGTTTTTCGCATCCGAAGGTCCAGCAAAATGTTGCTGGAAGCCAGGGGGAAATCGATGACATGGCGATGCCAAGACATGGGTTTATTCGGGATGCTCAGTGTCTGCCCACATGGCTCCAACAAGCAAATATGGAAGTGCACATTGTGGAAGACCCTCTTGACACGGGAGGTGCGCTTCCATCTTCGGGAGGGTACCTGGATCAGCTCACCAACTCCACACCCCAGGCTGCAAACTTCGTTGCCTTAGGCCCGATGTTCTGTGAATGGATGACGCAAATTCTGCACCAGTTGGCACGGATGAACATCTGAATGGACCCTCCCCGCATCTCATATACTCGGAAAGCCGAGTAGCAGAGACCCACAATTCATCAAAACCCCAAGGAGTTGCAATAGGCACATGTGTCTTCAAATGGGATGTTCACCTTTTCTCCCCTGTAAAAGCACCCCTTCCAAAAAGGCACGGCCGTAATTCTTCGGCATTTTTTTGCATGACCCGCGTGGCTTCGGCTCTGGGGCAGGGGCTGCAGCTGCTCCGTCCCTGACACCTCCAATCGACTACTTCCCCCGCAGGGCCCCCTCCGTTACAATGGGAGTCAAAGGTCGTGGCTGCTTCCATGCGTGCATCGTGGCGAGGGGGTCCTTTGCTTTTACTGGGGTGAATGTATGCAGGGTCAAAATTACGGGCAAGCAACTTGTTGGTGCCATTCGGACTTTCGTAAAACAAATGTCAGCCACGTGAAGTCCGGGGCATGGATGGTTGCAAGGGTTCTGTACAAAGCGATTCTGGAGTCTCCTTCTGACCCTTTAAAGATGGGGTCATTACCTAAAATAAAGGGGTCATGGACCCATTTTTAAGGGTCATGGACCCATTTTAAAGGGGTCATGGAGACTTCAGGATCACAAAGGCCACTTCTTGGAAGTGGAGCTTGCCCCCAGAATTACTCGGATTGACATTCCCCGGAGCAGGTTCACCAAACACCAAAGCTCAGCCAACTCTGGCCCACCCGGTGCGTCGAAATCGGGAAAAGCCGAAAACATTAGCATTGGCGGCCCTTTAGATTGACCCGAAGTAGACAAAGTGGCCAAAACAACTCCACCCGTCCGAAGGTGTGCCACTGGCGTGTCAAGCCCTTTTTTGTCACTTGGAGGTCTTGGGGTCCGGGATTCGGAGGTAGGAAGGCGCGCAGCGTCCATGAAAATGAGAGTTGCTGGATGCCTTCCCCGATCGATACCTTCAAACCCCATCTCCTGAAAAGTGCCTTAAAGCCGACCCGTAGTTGAGCATATCCCTAGCTCTGCTGTTCGATGCGTGGATGGAGGCTAGCCAGAGACAAGTGGCTTCTTTGATCATTGCTCCTACTTTGACCATAGGTTCTTACTTCCTATTACATATTCCATATCCTACTTCCATATATGTGAAGTAGTTCATCCCATATCCAGGAAGCAAGTGCAGATTGATGACTGACGTTCAGCAGGGCCTCAAAACAGCTTTGCGTAAATGATTCATCTCAAGCAGGGCTGTGGGAAATGCCCACTTCTGTGATACAACAGAAAGGGCTTCCCAAAGACTAACCCCCCCCCAAAAAAAAAAGAGCGGGATATTTCCTTGTTAAACCCCCTGATCCCACCCTGGTCTCAAGCCTTAGCACCTGCTTGAGCCAAATCCACCCGAGCTTGTGCCATGGGAAGGCGATGTTTTTGGGTCTCCAGATTCAACGAGTCTTTCTCCACAAAGGAAAGCTGGCCCATCCATTTGTTGAAGTCCCCTGGAAAAGATAAACATACTTCCAGCAGTGATAGATTCCCTTGAAAACCAACAGAAGAAAATATAGTATAACCAAATGGAAGGCCCCCAGACAAATATTGGAACTCCCAATTCCAATTCCATGAACGAAAGCTCGGCTGGTCCCGATTCCATGCCACGACTGGGGATGTCAGAGGTTGACCACCCCACTCCACTCCTGCGGAAGAAGGCGACATCTTCGAATTTATTTCTACTTGGCTGCTTTCTGCTGCCCTACTAAAAGCTTAACTTTTAGATGGAAAACCCATTGGTTGGCAAAGTTAGAGTCCTTACATCCAAGCAATATGCAACAAAGTCTAGGCAGATTGGAGAGAAACACCAGGGTCTTGAGAGCCCCAAAATACTCGCAAAGAATCCAAGTCAAACCCAAACCGCAGATCCCCTGCTAAACGTTTGACTTTTAGATTACATGAAAACTACCACCAAACCAACCAACAAAAAACAAACAAAAAAAACTAAGGAACCGGATGGCTGGGAGCGAAGACAACTCAGGGTCTTAAGTTTCCCAAAAAAAGGAGATGGGGCTCTGCAGGTTTGGCTTGGGACGATCCAGGGTTCACTGCTTTTATCTTGCTGGTGCGATAAGTAGGGAATGTGGTTGAATGAACCCAGGATTCCCTTCAAGGAAGCCACGAGACAGTTGGCTCTAGGGGTCAGTCATTCCATTTCACATTCCCTACATCTCTCCATATCTCGCACCGATCGCAAGTTATTGGTGAAACCGCCGATCCACGCCTTGGCCCTCTCCGTCTCCAGCTCCGCTTTCGCAGCCTTCAGCCTCGAGACGGGTCAAAACGACGTCAGGTCGGGGGGGGGGGGGGTCGCTAGAGGTATCCCATTTTCTTTAGGCCACTTGGGCCCTCCTTCTGACCCTAGAAATGGGGTCATTACCGCCAGAAAATGGGGTCGTGGACCCATGTTTGAAGGGTCATGGAGACTCCAGGTACCACTTAAAAGGACACCACACAGAAACTACACATTTTGTTGGGGTGTCCCATATTCCAGACACACCCAAATTGACAGTTAGCCTGGCTTCACTCAGGGAATCCACCTAACTCGCGGACCTTGCAAGGGAGTCTTGAAATGATGAACCCATTATTGGTTGGTGCTGACAGAGGAGGCTCAACAAAAACAACAGCCATTTGTTTGGTTTGCTTGCGCTCTCCATCTTCCAGCCAAGGGACGGTCCAACCAAACATCACGTTGTTTTTGTTGTTCCCCAACAGCTGAAATCTTTGGGGTCTCAGCCCAGATAGGCTCCGGGGTGCTTGCGGCCCTGAGGCAAGGTTCCACGAGGGTTCCACGAGGGTTCCACCTGGGTTCCACCAGGGTTGCACCAGGGTTCCACCAGGGTTCCACGAGGTTCTGCGAGGCTTGCGGGGTAGTGCGAGCACTGAAAAAGAGCACCGCATGCTGTTGGGGATATCACCTGAGCTTTTTCTTTGGGGGGGAGGGCCAACCAAGTTGGGCCTCTGAATCAACCAAGCTTGCAGTTCAGCGGTTTGGTGGCTTCCTGTGGGCAGCTTGCTGTTGGAACCGCTGGAAGAAAACACAAGTGAATTCTCCCTGCAAAGCAACGGATTCAGCCACTGGAATTCATGTTCTTGCTTTCTCGACTTGCAAAGACCTGGGCATCTGCAGTGGGAATCTCATCTCGGTGTTCCTTCTGAGACACGGTTACGGTCATTACGCCTATTAAAACATGTGTACCTCACACACTCCGTGACCTTGTTGTGAGTCGGGCAGTAAACACTCAATCTGCACTTACACGCAAGCTCTGGGATTCAATGGAAGCCTCCCAAACCCTCAAATCGAAGTTGAGCATTCAAGGCAGTACCTAAGAATCAAACCTCAAATGAACAGGCTCAACCCAATAAGAGCCCCCCCAAAAGCACCGTCGTTGTTGAAAATGGGGGACCCCTTGTCAAACCCAATCCGTAACTCATGGGAAACCAAGCTAAGCTACTACTATCCGGCAATAATTGGGATATATCTAATTGGACTTTTGAGCCTCCTGCTGCTAGACAGACGGAGGTTTCAGCAGAAACAGTGACCTCTACCTCATTTTTACAAAAACAAAACGACATCATCTTCAAAGTCTACGGATGTGGACTTCCTCATTGAAAACTGTGCTTTATGAGGATTTTAGAAAATGGGGTCTTCCAACTCGGTCTATTGTAGAAAATGGGGTCAACCAATCCAGACTGAGAAAATTATAATTTTTGAAAATGGGGGGGGCCAACCTAGAACCCTTCCTGACCAGACCCATTTTCTTTTATTCACCATGTAGAAAATGGGGGGTGCCAGCCCCACCATGGGAGGTCATCCTTAAAATTAATGTCGAACCCGGATCCCAGACCATGTCGAAGTCTCGCGGGAACGCCGCCAACGTCTAACATAAACTATTTGATAGTACAACATTAATCCAACCTTGGCGGACGGACGGCGTTACACGACAATAATTAGTCCATTTTAGACAAAACCGAGGAACAAAAACACATTCCAACACGACGCCGATCCCAACCCCTTTCGATGTGCAACACGATGTCAGCACGGGAGGGGGATTGTCACCCCTCCGGGACCTCGCGGATTTCACGAACCTCTTGAAGAAGCAGTCCGATGTACCTGCAGCGTACCTGCAGCTTGCTCAGAAAAAGAAGGCGCCCAGCCTTCGAACACTTTACATGGCATGGAACAAGTCCTGCCCTGTACACCAATGCGTCGCTGCAGTCTGTCTTGCATCCCTCACAGGTCAAAAACTACGTGGCGTGGCGGCTGCTTTTGGCCATCCTGGTTCACCATGTCTCCCGATGCCCTCTGATTTCAGAAAGGCTGGCGACGCATAGGCAGTTAAAACTGGTATCCGGCATGCAGTGCGAAAGCGGTGAATTCAGAACACACCGCCCTGCACGTGGATTCGGCAATTCGCTACCCAAGCCTGGCAATTCGCCAAATCAGACTTCCGGGATGTGGGTCAGTGGCAAGGAAACAGTGCGGCACCGTTTCATAGATTCGCATGTCTCCGGGACATGCCAGAAGGTGTTGCGAATGACGAGCACTGGCTGTGCTTGCTGTTGAGGCGCTGATGGAGCCATGGACAGCTCTGGCTTTCCATCCTCATGGAAGAAGGGGGCATTGCGGCCTCCGTTGCAGCGGCGGTAAGCGGATCTCTGTACCCGAAACGCCTCCCGGAACCGTCCTCGGATCCTCTGCCACTGGTCCCTGGGAACCACGCACTGGTGGGAAGCCAGATCCTGTCCGTCCATGGACTGGAAAATGCGAATCTCCACACCCAGGCGACCCAGGAAAGACTTGAGGTAGTCTGCCAAGCGAAACCTTCCAGCGAAGCGTTCCCAGTGACTCAGCCCGAGCTTGTTGCCAACCTCTACATAGGTGGCATCGGTGGATCCCGCCTCTGCTGGCACCAAGGGGTTGCCACCTTGGTTGCTGTTGACCCCCCCCCCAAAGGGTTTAACTTTTTGAGGGGTTTAGTGGAAAAACCGTTATTTCCCAAAAAGCTCAAGTCTAAAGATCCGACCCAATAGCAGTCAAGCCACTGCGAAGGTGGTGGCCCATGCTGAGGTGCACGTAGCAGGTCTTCTCCAGCTTCATGCCCTCACTGGCGCAGAGGTGTGGGAAAAACCGGGAGTAGGACCTCTGCATACATTCCACATACCTGGCGCCGTACGTTTTCGTTTTCGGATCGATCCCCTGCAAAAAGTGAAGAACTTGGGGGTGAAATTCGGACACCCAACCACTGAACCCAACTAAAAAGATATCGAACACCGCAAGTTGAACCGGACAACTCGCCGGTTCCGAACCAAGATACTGCACAAATTGGTCCGAGGCCAAAGCCGGGAACTCATCCAGCCGCCACGCCAGAAGTAGCCGGCCCTCCGAGGTCTCCGGGCGAAGCCACGCCAAGCGCTGCACGCTTTGCCCGGTGGCTTCCTCCACGGTCAAACCGCTGTCTCCTGTCGCATTTCCCAGAAGAGTTGATCATCTCTGGTGGCCCTTGAAACGATCGCCACTTTTGGAGCTTCCAAGGATCAAATGTTCAAAACCTCCCTTCAAACCCTTTGCCACTTTTGGAGGTGGCAACGGACCTCCAAAAAAACCTCACCAGCCCACTCCTTGCTGCGGGAAGTCCCTGGAAACTTTGAAGCGCAGCTCTTTGCCACGGAAGCAGGCCAAGCCAATGGAGTTCTCGAACTTCGAGAAGAGAGCGTCCGTCAGCCGGCAGGGCATCCACTCCACTGAGGTCCGAAGGATGGCATCTCCCGGGGCAATCACCTCCCGCAGCTCCGACCACACACCCTGGAAGGGTTCAACCGGTGCTCCTGCAAAACGCCCTACCAAGGTAAACGCGCGGAACAAAATATAACTTGCTCGGTGCTCAGCAGGGAATGAGGGAATGACCCTTATAAACCATCCCCATGCTTTTTAGGGAATCCCTAGGTTCATTACCACATTCCCTGAGCACCAGCAAGATGATTACGAGCAAAACTGGGTAATGTTGAAAAACCCGCCAACTGAGGCCCTGCCTTCTCGGGGCGCTGCTGGAAGTACGTCGGCCACAGCTCAGGTCGCAAGACCACAGCACCAGGCTTCAAATCGATGCCCTCCAGCTCGATCTTCACCAGGCGCCCACCCCAGGGGCAGTCCCTGTGCAGTAACTGCACCTTACAAGATACGGTGGATGGACGAAATTCGGCACCACCCAAGAAACCCTGGAATTATGACTCCCCTGCATTTTCCAGAAAACAATGGTGTCCCATGGTTCCGAAGGCGGTGCAGGATTTCATCCATCCACAGTATGAGTTTGTGTCAAAGGGGACTTGGAACCCCCGAATTAAAAAACGGCGTCTTTTGGATTCCCTTGAAGGGGGAAACCCAAGAGAACAAACCTGTCGAGGCAGACCTGAAAAGGGTACCCTCAAACACAAACACACGCACATAAGCAAACACGGGCATGAACACATGCACATACACGGGCACAAACACAAACACAAACCACAAAACAACACAAGCCACAATCACAACCGCACACGAAAACACAAATACACCCACAAAGCACAAACAGACACACGCACAAAGAAAAAACACACACAAACACACAAACACAAACACAGCTGCAACCACAAACGCAAGCACAAGCAAAAGCCCAAATAAACCCAACCCAAGAGCAAAAACAACCACAAACACAGTCACAACAAAAACAAGGAGAAACACGGAAACATGCCACCGCGCACACATGACAAACTAAAGACAAACAGAAACCACACCAGCACCAGCACCAGCACCAGCACCACCACAAGCAGCACCAGCACCACCAGCACCAGCAGCAGCACCACCAGCACCAGCACCAGCACCAGCACCAGCACCAGCACCAGCACCAGCACCAGCACCAGCACCAGCAACACACCACCACCGCCGCCGCCGCCGCCACCACCACCACCAACAACAGCAACACAGAAACACAAACACGGGCAAACAAACACGCAAAGAACAACACGAAAACTAACGGAGCAACAGCACAAACACGACCACAAACAAACAAAGCACACAGACACACACACAAAAACACACACACACCAAACACAGAAACACAAACACACAAACACTAGCACAAACAACACACACGAAATCACACGAACACATACACACACAAACCCGAACATGCGCAAACACACAAACACAAACACGCACAAACACACAAACACAAATACAGAGACAACACCCCGTAAAACCCAAGGCGCGCACACACACGCACATATG